GGACGGACTAGGTACCGGTACGTGGAGTACGTCTCCGTCCGCGTCCTCGTCGTCTCCCTCCTTTACCCCACCCCCCCGCCCCCCCCTCTCTTCCTTTTTCGCTCTGCAGGACTGAGCAGCCAGACACGAGAGAAAACAAACAGCTGGGGCTGCAAGTGCCCCCGCTCCGGCCCCGAGAGCACGCCGGTCCGGGCCCCTACTCGGAGTGCCCGCCCGCCCACCATGAGGAAGATCCGCGCCAATGCCATCGCCATTCTAACCGTAGCCTGGATCCTGGGCACTTTCTACTACTTATGGCAGGACAACCGAGCCCATGCAGCATCCTCCGGCGGCCGGGGCGCGCAGAGGGCCGGCGGGAGGCCGGAGCAGCTCCGCGAGGACCGCACCATCCCTCTCATTGTGAGTACAAGCTGCGCGCAGGGCGGCCGGCCGGGGAGCCACGGCGCGCGTCCTAGACCCGCGCGGCTGCAGAGGGCGCGGGGCCGGGCCGGGGGCTGCCGGTCCGCCGTGCCTCGCCGGCTTTGTATATGTTGGAGCATTCCTGTCCGTTGTTATGGCAACCTCCGTCGGGCTAGCGGGGCCAGGGCTCACGGTTGGAGGGAGGGTGACAGCGGGTGGGGGCTGGGAGAAAGTGCTGCAAGTTTGGTGGGCCCGGCGTGTACGCGCAACTGGGAACGCGGCGGCTCTCTTGGCACTGCGCATACGAGGCCCAGGGCCTGGGGCTGGGGGCCCGGGGCTGCCCGAGCCTCGCCAGCCCCGGAAGGCAGCCGGACCTTGCGCGCGGCAAGCCGGCAGTGGGAAGCGCGCGCTGCCGAGCGTGTAGGTGGCCGTGCGCACCCCATCTTCTCTTAGGGGCAAAGGACATCGGGTGGGGTCGCTGGGTGAGGCAGGATCGTTAGGGGCTGTACTGGACTTTGAGCCACCTTCTCAGCCTGGGTCAACTTGAACATGCTTCTTTGGCACGGAGGACTCCCTCACTATCACCCCCGGAGAAAGGTCTTGTCCTGCACCCGTCCCTCGCCCCAACACCAGTCCATCACAACGGGTGAGCTAGCAGTGCCTGCGCCCATGTTCGGAGATACTCTCACGAGGTCAGCCCCGCGACTTCAATGAGACCCGGGATATCAAGGCGGCGGGGCACGGCCGGGGCCTTCTGCGGGTGTGCAGGGGGTACCCCCCAGGCGCCCAGCGGACCTGGGCTGGGGTGTGCCTGTCGCTGCTTCCGTCCGGGCCCGGGGTGATGGCGCTTTGTGCCAGGGGCACCTGTTGAGACCGGTGGCTGTGGGACCCGAGAGGAGTGCTTCGGCAGGCAGTGTTCTTCCGATGCGGGCAGGTGGTGTGTGAGTCTTGGGAGACCCTCAGGACGAAATGCTGGGCGGGGACAGCCTGGACGGCGCCCGGCAGGAGGAAGGAGAGCGAAGTGTGGGTCTGAGGGTGGACGAGTGGAGCAGGGTGGCCATTCTGAAAGAGCTGGGCCTGGGGAGGGAGGGTTGAGGAGCTCCTAAAAAGGTGCAGGGTCAGGAGGGCGAAGGCTTGCGTGGAGCAGTCTGAGATATTTGCACCAAGGCAGCTGAGCCCCAGGAATACGGTGTGTGTGCGTTGAGGGGGTGGTCGGTGTGGAAATGCTCTCATATTTCCATCCGGCCCGATTTGGTTTCTTGTTACCGACTCAAGACGATGTAAAAATTCCCTGCAAAGGAACCATATTTCCAGGCTTTGCCTGAGGAGACCTTGGAGTTTGTGGGTTTTCCCCGGAGCCACTCCCCTATTCCCGATCTGTCTGGAGGCGGGTCTGGTTGGATGGAGTGTTGCCTTCAGGGCTGAGGGTCCCTGCCACTAGGTCACTGTTTTCAAAGCACTTGTGGATATTTGGACAGAAAAGCTGATGAAGAAAAAAACCTCCTGTGTAAAGATCTCCGAGTGCTGGGATCTGGGTGGACGGACAGAGTAGAGTGGGAGCAACACAGATGGCCCCAGACCCCCAGGGAGCTAACACAGCAAAGACTCATCCAAGCTGCCCCGTTCTTACTCTCTGAGAGAGCCAGCCCGGGTCCAGGTTAGGCGGGCCTGGAGTAGCAGGGGAGAGGCAGGATGGCCAGATGTTCTGTCCATCTCTGTGGTGACGCGATGGGAGGAGGGTCTGAGCTGGAAGAGGAGGAGGGGAGAGAGGAGGGGGGAATATAAAGGAAGAGCACAGAGAAACTGCTGCTCAGAGCCTGAGGCTGGTCTCATCACAGGTGCTCTGCTTCAGAATCTGAGAAGACCACTCAGACTTCGAGCTGGGAAAGGCGCAGGGAGGGGAGGGGCAGGGGTGAAGGGTGGGGGTGGACTGCTGGAGGTATGGGATACTGGTTTTGAAGGGTGGAAATTGAAGGTCATGGGGGCTCCAGTGAACAACCTCTCACCCCTACTTGTTCCCTTGGGGTTTGACTTGCTTCGGATTAGAAAAGGCCTGTGAACTTTGAAGCCAAATTTAAACTGTAAAGGACTATTCGGGGAGCCAGGAATTGAGGCGAAGGAGAG